ATTGAGATTGTTACGAAATCAATTTTATTCTTGAATAATTTTAGGTATTTTGCCTTGAAACTTTTGTTACCTGATCTACAAAGATTTGGTGCAGAATTTATTTTAACAAGACGGCTCAATCAAGACGGTTTAGAAAATTTCTTTGGTGTGATAAGAGCCAAAGGTGGTTTGCATGATCATCCCAACTCGTTGGAATTTAAGTATTGCCTGAGTTCCTACATCATGGGAAAAAATGAAGGTGCATATTCCGAATTTTCGAACGTAGAAACAGACAACACTCCAGATTTACCAATTTCTGGACAATTGATCCAAAGTCTGGATTCCAAGAACAAAGCAGTTGTGGATATACAATGAGAGTCAGAATGAACAAAACATTCGTGACCTCGAATATGATCATGAATATGATCAACGTACACATGGGTTGATCATTTGAGTCAGGGTGGTTTATGTAAACCTTCAGACACTTTTTTATTACAGGTTGGACAACTGGAAAAAATTTTTGTTTCCATAAATGGTGATTCCATTTTGGTAACTAAAAATTATTTTGAAAATCTAATGTCGAAAAGTGGTGATGTAGACTGTTTTAATAAGGCGAAGAAGTTGTTCTTTAGGTCTCGGATGTACTTTCGCATTAAAGAATTAAATAAGTCTCTTAACAACCTGACATTACGTAAAAGAAAAATATTGGAAATTACTACATAGTTACTGTATGTACGTCTGATTCACAAGAACAAAGTTTGATTTAGAGTGCATGACATGAAAATTATACAACTTATTTTTGTCTTTTCCAATTGTCAAATTATTAAATTATTAATTGCTATCTTACTAACCATATATATATATATATATATATATTTATATATATATATATATATATATATATATATATATTATATATATATATATATATTATATTATATATATATATATATATATATATATATATATATATATATATATATATATATATATATATATATATATATATATATAATCATACCGAGAGACTGGAATGAGGAACAAATCCCGGAAGAGTGGTTTATTGGGATCGTTTACCCGCTACACGAAAAGGGTGATTAATTGGAATGTAGAAACTATAGGGGAATAACACTCCTTAATACAGCATATAAAATATTTTCGAGTATTTTATATAGTCGCTTGAGTGCATATTCAGAGGAGCTTCTTGGCGAATATCAAACTGGTTTTAGGCCTGGTCCATCAACAACAGACCAAATCTTTGTGCTAAGGCAAATACCGGAAAAAAACAATGAATTCAATATCGACACATACCATCTTTTCGTAGATTTTAAATCGGCCTATGATAATGTCCTAAGAAATAAATTGTATGAAGCCATCGATGAGTTTCACATCCCGGATAAACTGATAAGCTTGGTTAAGGCTACAATGCGTAAAGTTGTTTGCAAAGTCGAAATACAGGGCGAACAATCACAGGCATTTGAAACGCATGTTGGGCTGCGACAGAAAGATACGCTGGCGTGCTTCCTTTTCAACATAGCTCTGAAAAAGGCGGTTAGGGATGCCCAAATAGACAACAGAGAAAACATTTTTAATAAATCATCCCAAATTTTGGCATATGCAGATGATGTTGACCTTGTTGCCCGCACAACACGCAAACTAGAAGAAATGTATACCACCTTGTCAAATGCCTCAAAAAATATGGCCCTGCAAGTAAATGAGGAGAAAACTAAGATAATGGCATCAACACCCAACAATAGAGCCAGAAACATCGGCACCAATTCACTGTTGATAACTCTACCTTTGAAGTGGTGGACAAATTCACATACTTAGGCTCCTTGATCACCAAGGAGAACGCCATGACGGAAGAAATCAGGCGAAGAATAATCCTAGAAAACAAATGCTATTTTGGATTGAGTAGACATATGAGAAGCAGAAACTTAAGCCAAAACACAAAAATACCATTTCCAAGGCAGATGAAAACCTCCTGCTTATATTTGAACGAAGGATTCTGAGAAGAATATTCGGTGGCATCTGTGAAAATGGTGTTTGGAGAAGAAGGTACAACTATGAGATATATCACAGATATAAAAAATATATATTTGGTGGTAAAGACGTAGTATGTCTCATAAAAATAGGAAGACTAAGATGGGCAGGACATCTGACAAGATCACCGCAAAACAACCCTCCTAGAAGAATCCTTATGTCACAACCTGCGGGAAGTAGAAGTAGGGGTAGGCCAAAACTCAGATGGAGGGATGGTGTAAATGAGGATGGTAGAAAAATAGGCGCAGCAAACTGGCAACAGTTGGCAATGGATAGAACTGACTGGCGTAATAGACTTGGGAAGGTTGAGGCTCTTTTATAGGTCATCAATGATGACGATGAATTAAAAATTAAAAATTTTGTTTTTTTTTAATAACCCATCAAATAATTATGGTTCCCATTTTTGGGGTTTCTCTTCCCCTTGGTAAATATTAAATATTGTTTAATGTGTGGGCCCCATAATCGATTTTTGGCAACTAACGAAATAAAATAATTTTAATTATTATTGATTATATTCACATTAATTAAAAAGTAAAAATATTGTTTTTTTTTAAACCCATCAAATTATGGTTCCAATTATTGGGGTTTCTCTTCCCCTTGGTAAATATTAAATATTTTCTAATGTGTAGGTCCCATAATCGATTTTTGGCAATATAATAATTTTATTCATTATTGATTTTATAAATATTTTTATTTTCCGGATGCCAATATAAGAGACTGGATACATTACAAGTTACTGAAAATCTATTTAAATAAAAGGAACTAAGCCATTTTTATAGTTTAGTTTTCCTCTAAACTATAAAAATCACAAATATCATTCGCACTCGTATTACGGAGGCATAGACGAGTTTATGCTTAACTCTGTGCTTGCTCTGTTGCCTACGTCATGCGCCAATCGGACGAGTTTCGGTAACCGGAATATCAGGTCCTGAGTGTATACGGTATTGAGGTTCTTGAACTATAGCATAGGTAGTTGTCCGCTTTAACTTTCCTTGCTTAATGATGGATCTTCTCCAAGTTTGTACTGTACCTTTAACCTTGCTTAAACAATATTCCAGGTCTGCTTGATATCCTTCCCAGTTTGTTTTACGAGGGTTGCGGAAAGTTTCCGTGATAGGCTCATTACTTGTTATTTCAAAACAAATATGTCGATGGTCTGAACATTACTCCTCATCTGGTACATGCCATTTTTTAACAGCTTTAGCTTCAGCCGAGGCTGGTACATCAATTATCTTCTTTCGTTGTAAAGTTACGAAAGTTGGTTTGTTTGCTACGTTTAATGTCTAAATTTTACATAACAAACTAAAGTAATAACTCACCTCTTTCATTGTATTTCGTCTTCGTGCCTTTATGATCTTCATCTTTACTAGATGTTTTGATATGTAGTTTTGATATTATGTAGTTTTAATACTACATAATATATATTATTTATCAGATCCGCTATATAATATATGCTCTCCACCAATGCTCGTTAGACTGCTTATTTTGTCTTTGTAAACACGGGGCTCTTTTATCAAAGCTACATCAAACCTTCTGATAGCAACAGTAAGTTCTGTCGAAACTGCCCTACTGTACTGGAGGTTCGACTATAGATCAATATAGATAGCTTACCATTCATTGCTTGTAATAATTCAACTCGTATTTTCAAGATTATATTCTATAGTTATAATATATATTTAGAATGTAAATCAAAAAGTAAAACATTAACACTCCTTTTCTGAACGTTCGATGTTTTATAGCCCGTAATATGTCGTTAGCCAGTTAGCACTGTTTTCAATAAGATTGAATATTCATACGCAAACTATTTAAATAATACAATATTTATGAGACGACGGAATTTGCCAGAAATGGTTAAAATATTTAGCAAAAACAGTGATTTGAATTAACGTGTGAAAATGGTGAAATACGATTGAAAAGGTTATGTTCCTTTTAGGATGACATTCTTTTAACCTTACCTAGATATCGAGATCGATTGATTTGCTTATAGCAGCAAGTTCAAAAATAAACCTAGCCATTATGATTGCCAACTTCCGTAAGGATAATACACTCTAAGAAGAAATATCGACGAAGACCACAAACAAGGTGGTATGATGGCCTCCTAAAAAGACTGCGTGAGTAAACTGGATAATGGGAGTACAGGATAGAAACAAGTAGATAGGACCGAAGTTCCTTTCGTCCGATTCTCGATGCATGACGTCCAAGAGAGAAACACCAGAGTAACGTACATAACATTTTATGGATATCAGTTAAAAGTATCAACCGCTTGCAGAAAGAAATTTACCACTGCTGATTATTTGCTAAGGATTAATAAAGGCTAATTATTTCTACAAGCACATATTTCCACACACAAAAAAATACATATTCATACAAGTCTTACTAATAAGAACTTGAAGTAAGGAACAAACCCCGGAAGACTGCTGTACAGGAATTGTTTGTCCGTTACACAAAAAGGGTGATCATTTGGAATGCAGAAACTAATCTGCATTCGAGTACAAGTTAGAATATTTTGACAAGGATAAATGGTTTCTATCTCGCTAAAAACGTGGACCCGAATATTTCGAATATGCCTTTCGAGAGTATCCGCTAAGCGTGTACAGCGGTTGAAGTGCTGTAGGCGCTCGAACCTTTTCGACTTTTTTAATAATGTAATATCTATATAAAAAATATCTGATAATTGATTAAATGAAATTTTAATTTTATTTAATACTACGTTGGTAAGTAAATACTAGGTTACAATTACTAAATATTCTACATTTCACTACAAATTTCTTAGATAATTCTAAATTAGCGCCAACGATATAGACTTGTTTTAACTTGTTATTGGGCGCGTATTGCAACAATATCGTGCCGCACTTATATAGGTAAAGTTATTGTGAGATTGCAAACGATTTTCGTTGCTTTCGCAAATATAAGAAAGATTCTGATTATTATGAAAAATTTTATCATAAAAAAAAAATCATTTTTATTAACTTTCAAGTATGAATTGTGATAAAAATGTGTCGAAGAAAAGGAAAACAGCTTCTGAACAAGTCGACACTTTCGAAAATAAGAAAATCTTTAGATCCAAAGTTGCAAGTTTTGATTGGGAAAATTTGTGCTTTATTTGTGGTAGTAAAAAAAGGAATGGTATTAAAAAGTTAACAGAAGCAAGTTCAAACAGTGGTGTTAAGCAACGACTTTTTAATGCTGCCACAATAAGACAAGATGCGCTTCTTCTAGACAAACTGTCTTTACCTCATGATTTGTCTGAAATAGGCGCTCGTTACCATGCATATCCTTGTTATCAAAATTATGTCAGTGAAAATACTTTGCGAGCTATTTCAAAAAATTTGTCTAGTAGTGAAAACAGTGTTGATAATTGCATAAACATTACAACACAAAATTTACATTATTATAGCATTGTAAAAAATTAATTTTAATTGGTTTAATTATAATATGTCTATATAAAAATAATTAGAAATATCTTTTTTTCTAATAAATTGTACGTAATATTTGTATTGAATTAATCTTTTAAATTTAAACAAATATTTCTACGCGCCGCACGCCTGTATCGCCGCAACCGCTGTACACACTAAAGGTCGATTCAGACACATCAGTCCCGTCATAGTCTCGGCGCCGAACCGGTCTTGTTTGGTTACAGAACTATCAACTATCTGACAGCTGGGTAACTGTTTGTCAACTGATGAGTGTGAATGCCGGCAACATATTTGTATTAAAGAATATTTTGTATGACGGATTGTTCGGTTCGGCGCATTTACTGTGACGAGACGTGACTGATGTGTCTGAATCGACCTTTAGCGGTAGACTGCTCGAAAGGCATATTCGAAATATTTGGGTCCACGTTTTTAGCAAGATAGAAAAAAATTATCCTTGCCAAAATATTCTAACTTGTACTCGACGGTTTAAAGATTAAAAAGCTATTCATTTCGTAGTTTTAGAAAAAAAAAATCCCAAAAATCACCAATTAAGGCATTTTTTCAACAAAAAAATGGAAATAACTCGAAAAGGAAGCATTTTTCGAAAAATTACCAAGAGAGAAAAAGTGTTTATTTTGATGGGATGCACCATCATAAAAAAATTGATTCCGAAGCAATTCAGTGAAATTGCTTTTTTGTATAAGTTATTTGTTAATAACAATTGCCGGCCCACTTCTAAAAATTTTCAAAAAATACATTTCATACATATTATATATTTGATAATATATAATATAATATCTCTATATAACTCGAATATTATGATCTTTTAATTTTTACGATACATAATAAGCTTTAGCATGATGTTAAATAACTAGTGTGTAGTAATGTGCAAATAACTTCTAGTTTCTAGACTACCGAGTGAATACAAGAATCCTCTAATACATATAGTCTAGGAAACACAGCAAAAACATGCAATTTCAGAGATGTAAATAAGGAATATAGAGATTTTTTACTTTATGGATGCGATCAGAATTTACCCTCTCATTCTTGCTGCTCAGAATTCCTTGAGTTTTCGGAGCGATGAGGCTCTAAAGTTGCAAGAATCGGTTTTCTTATTCTCAAATATAGAATATATGTACGGTTTTAAAATGGAAACCTTTTTTCTCTTGAAAAAATATATTAAATTTAAGACTTTGTAAGTTTAATTTGATAAATTTTTATGAGAAATTACAAAAAACACCTAAAGCTAGCGTTTTAAAAATTTGTTTATTTCATGATTTAATTAAGTAAGATGCATATTGATTTTTTTTTAATATCATTTAAAACTTTTTGAACAACTTTTGAAATATTCTGGAGTTTTTGAATCTTTTTAAATGTAAGGTCAGAGCGTAGGAAGTTGCATAAATATAACTTATTTATACAGCAAAGTCGCGTGGTTGTTTGTAACTTTTCGAGCTACCCCAATTAAAAAAATATCGGTTGAGTTTTCACGAAGATATGCCAATTTTTTCGGTGCGCCGCCGATTTGAAGTTACATTTTCACTTATTGCCACGACAACATTATCTTGCTCGGCTATCTATACCACCGCTACTGAAAATCACAAAAAATATGCATCACAATATGTTTTTTTGATTAAATAACTGCACTATTTGGTAAAGCAAACGATATCTTAATCACAGAATAACGTTTTTTTATTCTTTGTTTTAAAGCCAGCTGTCGATTTCCATAAGTTCAAAATATGGACGATCTGTGAACAGCGCTGTAGCTCTAAATGTTTATAAAAAATTCACATTTTTCTAAGCGATAAATAAGGAGTTTAAAATTAATTCAATTTTTTTTTCATAATTCGAAAATATAATTTTACATTTTGGGTCGTGGAATAAATAAATAACAATAACTCATAAAAAAATTAACCAATTAAATTCCACAACGTCGCATTCGATTCGGAATTGAAAAAGCTTTCTTTCAAGATGAAATATAATAGAATGTTTTTTTTTGCATTAAAAACGAAAAATTAAAAAGCTACGAAATTTTTATAAAGAAATTAACCAAATGAAATTTAAGTCTCGAATTAAAGTTATTTAATCTCGAAAAAACGTTAAAATTTGGAAAACCGTTTTTTGTAACTTTAGATCCTCATAACTAGACTTAGACAAATAGGTATATTGCATATTTTTATAAAAGTGAGCATAAAGTGCATATAATTTGAAAATTTGGTGTTAACTATATATTTTTATATTCAAACTTAGAGATAGCATAAAAATGCCCATATTTAATTATTTTGTTTTATAATCACTTGGTATTCAAATTCTTGGTATAGTAACTAATAAAAGATAGCGGCTTATAGTTTTGTCACGTTTTGTCCTATAATTAAGGGTTTGTGTAAACCAGTTTATGTCTCTAGGTAAGAATTTTTATTTTGACGGTTTGTTTCACTAGGTTTCACTTTTGTTGTAAAATTGGAGGCGTAAACAACGTGTATTTCTAATTGTGAATAATTATTGTGCTTTGAAAATGCCCAAAATAAGCAAACCTCGCAAAGAGCTATCTATGGATATGGATAAAGTTTATTGCTCATGTTGTGGCAAAGCCGTAAGTACACGTATTATTTTTTATTTTATTTTAAAAATTTACACGGTGCGGTGGTACAAACAGAGATTTTAAAATTGGAGATTATGTTTAAGAAAAGTACCGACACAAAGCTAGTTCGCAATAAATCGGGATATTTTTTATTTTTTCAAGCATTTTTTAAACTCCTTGCGATAAAAAATAGAATATCCATTTAAAATTCAAATCATTCAATAGTCTACTGAAAGGTCGCTAACATATTTTTTTAACAATAGCATAGTTTGCTTTAATTTTGCTAAAACAAAAACATATCATATATTGGACTTAATTAATTAAGTGCTTTTAATTTCTGCTCACAGTATTTTTTCTTTAAATGTAAACAGACAAGGCCAAGAGCCTCTTGTAAATATTTGGGGGCTCTTCCTTCTTGTACAGTCATTTCTTGACATGTTTAAGATTACTACACCAATTTTTATAGGCTATAATTTAAATATTTTAATTGTTATGCAAAAACGGTTCATTATAAGTTTATTTCTACAATCTTACGATTTTAAAAATGAGTACAACTATAGAATATTTATATTCTTTTTTAGATTTCATCTGAAAAAAATTTCAAATAGATCAGCCTGTCAGAATCGTGAAACATTTAGCTAAAAAAGTAAAAACCACATCCAGTAAAAAAGATTAACCTTCAGTGTCCAAGTGCTTTCAGTCAAGTTCCAAAAAACAAACCGAACAAGAAACTTTTAACGAAGACTTGTGTCGTGCATTAAGTATCTTCTAATATACCGCTTTCAAAATTATCTAATGAAAGCTTTAGTTCTTTTTTAAAAAAATATTGCAAACAAAACATTCTCAGTGAACTCTAAAGAGAAATAATGTCAATTTGTTATATTTTTCAGTTATCCACAACATAAAAGCCGAAATAGGTAATAATTACTTTTACATATGTGTGGACGAGACTGCTGACTCGTCAGGAAGATACATTGTGCACTTATTGATTGGTGTACTTAGCGATGAAACCTTTCTAAAATCGTATTTAATTTGCTGTTAGCAAGTGGAAAAAACTAACGCTCTAACAATATCACGGTTTCTACAAGAAGGATAAGCAAACTTTTTTCTTCCTGCTGCTGTGCCTAATGATAAATTATTGCTTATTTTATCTGATGCCGCACTATATATGGTGAAACCAGGACAAAATTTAAAAATATTTTATATTCAAATTTAATACATATTCACTTGTTTAGCACATGGAATAAACAGAGTTGCGGAGGAAGTAAGAAAAACATTTCCCCTAGTTAACAGTTTTAACAGCGAGCCTCAAAAAGGTATTCCTGAAATCACCTGTAAAAATGCAATGTTAAAGAGATTGCTTCCTGCCGTTTCCCTGTCACCCAACCCATTTTAACACGTTGGGGAACATAGTTGGAAGTAACTAATTTCCAAGCTGATCATTTTGTTGATTTAAAAAAAAAATTAACCTTTTAGCGGATGATAGGTGCCAGTCTTTTTTTAAAGCTAAGCACGCCCTGTAAAATAACATCCTCCAACAGCAACTGTCATTCATAAAATTAAATTATAGTTTTGTCCAGAAAACTATAACTCAATTAGAATCCTCCAAATTATCATTGTTAGAGAGTACAGTTTTAATAAAAGAATTTGAATTAGAATGAGTCATTGTGTCAAAACGTTAAAGGTACAATTGGAAAGAAAATTTTTCAAAAATTTAAAGTAAACATGGAAAAAATAGTAGTTACCAGGTTCTTTCTGAAGTGGTTCAAGTACTAGCTGGGACATTTTCCGAACCACCTAATTTAGAACCATCTATTAAAGTAAATTTGAAAAATGCCTCAGTTACATAAGTTGATGTCGAAATAAGTTTTTCTATTTACAAATATATGTATTCAGATAGAAGCCATAAGTTTTTATTAGAATATTTTGAACATCATTTGATAGTCTATCGTTACCACAATTCAAAATAATATTTATATGTTAAAATAATTGTATATGTTATGTATTTATAATATTGTAAGGATTTTTGTATTTTTTATTACATGCATATTTCTAGATAAATATGCATATTTTGCATAAAATACTGCATATTTTTGCATAAAATACTGCTTATTTATGCGCACATTTCATACTTGTTTATTTGCATATTTGCCTATATCTACTCATAACCCCGAAACCCTAATGAATTGAATGAATGAATGATGAATGAATGAATGATAGGAAACATTCTGATCTCGCCCTCTATAAAGTAAAACAAATTTCATACATTCGTTATTTACATCTCTGAAGTTGCATGTGTTGCTCTGTTTCCTAGACTAATAATGAAACAGTCTCCTGTATAGTGTCAGTAC